AGTTCTGATGTAAAAGATATATAGAAGACTTGCCCAGAGGAGAACCACGAGTCCAGCACGCCAGGCAGATTGTGCAGTGGGCCGCTGAATGGATTTATGATCCCATCCACAGGTTTCAGTAGCTGAGGATTGCTCAAGGGTAGTGGTATAGGGGTTGCGAACACCGACAGTAACCCATAGTGAAGGATGATCATGTAGATCACAAAGTACAGAGAAGTCATTATCACGTCAAGCTGTGCAACTTAAAGGTCAGAAGGATCCCTCTCATTAAGTCTAATCTTACTTACCAGGACTTGCTAGTAAGGACTTTGGTGAGGAAGGAGAGCCGGCTCTAGCTTCCACTTCCCTCAAGAGGTCGCTATAAATACAGGGCTTGAGACGTCACTGCCTTGTGTTATTCACTGCTGGACGTCCAGCACAACAGGCTCCGCAGAGTATCAGATTGATCAGACGGTGACCCTGGCCCTACGGTGAGATGATGAGTCGGCTAATGGAAGAGGAGAGGGTGTGTCGCAATGCATCATCGTTCTGCGTGTGTGTCAAAGGCAGACACCACATGGCAGTGATAAAAGGTGAAATGCCGCCAACTTCAGAGTATATAGTTTAGGATATCTAACGACGATGTTCCAGTGCCGAATTCAATGACAACATTATTCTTCATGCGTTGCATCACGCATTCTTCGCAATACTACGTCTCGCGGGAACTCATTCCACGCATCCCGGATACGGTTCAATTGAACACGGAAGATGCTTCTAGCTTTTTACGAGGATCAGAGGGTGTACGTTTTGACTAATAGTTATGTTTCTTTTGCCCAGGAACCGACTTCGTGCTGAGGGATCCCCAAACCTGATGTCAGCTTTCTCTGCCACAGTGATCAGTATCCGTTCGGACTAGAAGACGAGGCATCGGAGTTGCTGCAATCAGGCAGTGTATCTGCGATCACGGAGTCGGTGATATGTCCGTCGACACGGGAAGACAAATCGCAATGACGGCCGCAGTATTCTGATTTGACTTGAAGACAAGATGCTTATTAGGTTATGCTCATCCTTGCTGATCGTTTACGAAGCTCAAATTTAATGCATTTTGAATGCGCAGGCTACTGAACAAGGGCATCGGAGCATGCACCGCTATCACGCATTGACACAGCAGTACGGGTTATACCATCGACAGTCCAACTTTCTCGGAGACTACACAACTTGATGGAACGGTAGCCTTATCGACCGTCGCGGAAGCTAATAACCGTTCGGTGGGCCATATCAATTCTGATTCGATAGGTATAGTTCTAATCGACTTACCCTGGGGAAAACGACCCTGACCAGTCGTGCAAATCTGACGGTGGACCGCTGAATGCGTTCCTGATTCCGGACTCGAAATTGAGGGGATCAAGCAGGTTGCGTCGAGGAGTGTCTGAACGTAACGATATGGGTGATGCCAGCACCGATAGTAGCCCGTATTGTAGGAAGAAGATGACCGTGACGGCGAAAGGCATAAAGCGCGCAGAAAGCATCATCGCGTGAGTCTGTATGAATCGGATGTCAGAAGGATAGTAACTCCTGTGTTGTCCGCAGTTACTTACCAATCTTTTCTAGAGAGTTAGAGAGCCGGCTCTACCATACATCATCTTCTCGAGAGGTTGTTATAAACACAAAGCTTGAAATTTTGAAACGCCATCGTATGGTGATAAACGAATAATGTGCCACTCTGACACACAGAACATGCAGGGTATCAGGTCAATCATACCCTGGCCCTACAGCTCGACAGTGATGGGCCTGTCAACGGACGAGGACTCGGAGAGGGGTGGCAGGCACTGGCAGGTTACAGCGCTTATGACACTAACCGTGATCGTGAAAGCGACGTTCAGTAGAACGCCGCGGCGCGGTTCACACCACCGCCTCTTATACTCGTACGTACCTCTCTCAAAGAACGTCTTCATGTTCTGTCGCCTGCTCAGTGTCTGTTGTGTTCTGTTTGGTCTCTAGGTATATAGAGGGCGAATCACAAAACGCACATGAGCGGTAGCCTAAAGATGGACACCATAAGGCTGTGAAGACAGGTGAGATGTCCACCAACTCCAGAGATCATCGAAATTAGGTACGCACAGAGCCCAAATGCCTCGGAGACAGTACTAGCATTACTCTGTATATACCCAACCATATGCCAGTGCGCTGTTTTCCCAATTCTGGTGACAATGTTTCAATGAGCTCAAACATTCATCAACGAAATAAGCTCGTACAACACCTCGCATACCATATCTCATGAGGCCTCATGCATCATGGATAATATCTGGATTCGACATTGAAGCAATCACCCAAGTTTGTCTGTCTTTTGGATCTGTATAATGCTGTGCCCTGGACGTGAGCACCGCACGGACAAGCTCGAAATCTGACTTGATAAAAGGCACAAGTGATCGCTGATATAGTCGCGACGTTGGAGGTCCCATAGCGATGGAGAAACTAATGCATTATCGTTGTAGACACCGCAATGCAGTTCATTCCGGTGGATACGAACATGGTCAGAGTACTGCACAGTGTGTGGAGCCTGAACCAGTCCTTTCAGCGTCGGAAACCGAATTCGAACCTGGGATATTAATGGCTGATTATGAGAAAGAACCTCTTTAGGGTTGGTAAAAACTGGCGATGAGACGTACGGCTGAAAGAAAGGCAGAGTTTCGGGATTCGGGATATGTTCTGGCCCGCTGAAGGGACTGGCTTCTTTCGATTGGGGCCCGAAAGGATTAACAGGAGCTGCAATGACCCCCTGCGACACCATTTGACAGAGAAATGTCGCAGCAAAAATCGACATGACAGTTATAGGCGAGATTTGTGGCATTGGTGGCCGCACCTGTGAACTAAAGAGGTAAGAGAACACACACGGACAGTGTTTATTCTAGGACGTACGTGATCGGTTGCAGCGATTTGGTGACGGAGTACGAGAGCCAGCTCTGCTCGTTGATTACTGACAAAAGCTCACTTATATATCCCAGGCAAAGAAGTCATTGAAGATGAACGGCGCTCGAAACCAAAGGATCATGCATCATGTTTGAAAGATAGTGATGTGTCATATATGTAAGATGGGAGCAAAGTATTGCGCCGACTTCACTCAGTTGAATACACTGATTGTCAGTTACAGCCAGCGCGGTGGGGTGTCATGCCAACCCGTGAGGATATTGATTACCAGAGAAATGCGCTTCGCAGTAGCCGGAAATACCCCATACAATGCATTCTACATAGTGAATATGAGGGTGGCAACGGAGCGTGTAACTTGAGTGAGCTCAGTCAGCGTTGGAACCCGAACCTGAGATAGTCGATGAGAGGGGAAGCTTTCGCATGACGGTTATAACTGACGATGAGACGTACAGTTGAAGGAAGCTTAGGGTGCTAGGACCCGGAATATGTAGTGGCCCACTAAAGGGACTTGCTACTTTCGCGAGAGATTGGGGGAATTCGACCGAAGAACCGACGGGAGCTGCGACAACTCCGTGCGACAAAATTTGGAGGAGGGTTGCAACGGCGATCATGAAAATAATAACGCGCACTGGGATCTGCGGCATTGGTACTTGTTCCTGTTGCGCAAAGTGTAAGAGAACATATAAGTGCGTGAGCATCGTTTTAGGACGTACGTAATCGATTAATAGTAATCTTATGAAGTAGGAGGGCTAGCTCTGGTCCTTATGATAGCCGACAAGAACTCACTTATATGTCTCGCTACACCCGAAGTTGGTTGAGGATGAACGGCACAAATGTGGCGTACAACCGTTGGAATCAAGAAAACATAGAGATAGTGATGCTAAATGATATGGAGATATGGAGACAGCGAATAGGAATACCAAACGCTCACATCCGCGGTGGCAAAATCGCCGCGAAGTGCGAATTTGCCTGTCTGCTCGCTTCACATCTGCGTGAAATGGCTGGTTTGCCTCTTCCATGTGATGGTCGTTGAAAGCTTGCGGAGTGCCCATAGGAATACAATCAGTGTTGTGATCGACTAAGACGAAACGTAGAGTTGATCAGAACACGAATAGATGAATATGTAACCCCATTAAAGTGAGTACCAACACAGGACCACAAAAGGCAATCGGGTATATGCTTCGCACATCATCGAGTGATAGCTTTCGTATTAAAAAAAAAATCCTGTAATTCAGGACTGGAAGCTGCGGGCTCGTATTAGCATGGCTTCGCAGTTGATGAATCATGGGAAGTCATACGGTCTGAAAAAGCGTTCGAATCGATCATCTGGTATGTCTGTTGTCCCGCTGAAAGGGATCAAGGCTCCCAAGCTACGAAAGGCAGACGGATCGATGGATTGTCTACTGGCCATAAGCGGGGCAGCATAAATTGCTGGCGCCATCCAATAGCACAACAGGATGGCAAAACCCCATAGAGTAAAATCCGAATGTAAGTTTGCCATCGTAGTCTAACCTAAAAGTATGCAATAAGTGTGAAGCAATACATTGCCGGAGAAACAGTTCGCTGACCTCTAGGTTATAGAAAAGAATGAAGAGAGAGCCAGCTCTGGTACCGGTGAGATGAGTAGCTCGCCTATTTGACTGAGTACGTTGGCAGGGCGCGCGGCATCGTGTTACACCCTGAGTTTCGTGGCACCAGAGTTGATATCAACCACGCACCAGAAGCTCTGAAACAAATGATTTACGTGCGCTGATAAGCTAATGAGAATGCACAGACGTACATACATACTGCGACCGAAAGCCGTACCGTTTCATGTAGACCGTGCCAACTGACAGCTCGAGGGGCAGTGATCAGGCTAGGGCCCTTACACCGGGGAATCCGTCGCGAGTTCATGGTATAACTGATACAACGACCGTGCTCTTGCTATCGCACACATCCTGATGATAGCTTGAAGGTGATTTCGTGGTGCCATGGGTGACCGGTGACCGGTGATCATTGAAATATACAGTTGAACACGCTGAAGGGCGCTGGACTCATTTTAGCGATGCCTCTGGTTACCATACATATAATAAATGTATGGGCGCTATTATGAATGCCCCGTGGCTAAGTTGGTTACAGCGTCCGACTGTTACGTAAGAAGCCTCGAGGCACGGGCTATTACCAAAATCGGAAGGTCGAGAGTTCGACCCTCTCCGGGGCAGTTTTTTTTTCGCTGTATTCGAGTAATTCTTTCATCTAAACAATCGGCTTTTTAAAGAGTAAAGAAATGGACAGGAGAACCTTTAAACGTCTGGTAATAATGAGCGCTGGCAGGCTCCGAGTCCGGACTGCCACTAGCAGCAGCCTGCTTCCGACTTTCACCATGTGGCACTGGCCATGGCCAATGTCTATATCGACTATAGAAAGTTCCAAGATAACAGTAGACGGTCGATGGTGGTGAGTGTGCGCAGCTTTTAACACGCAATGGCCTATCGTTACGCTGAAATATACCTGGCTGCGGCGCAGAATCCAGATACTCTCAACGAGACCTCCAGCTGATACCAAGCTGCCCATACGAAGCTAAAGGTCAATGGCGCAGTATCTGATGGACAGTACAGTACGTACTTGTATGAAGAATTATGTGACCGTGCAAGCGAAGCATGCTACCACATGAGTTACGGGCTTAGTCGTCGTCGGACTAGAACAACTCCAGTTGCTGCGACACTTCATTGAATGTAAGCCTTGACAGACCCTCTACAATACTGTGTATCTGACCAGAAGCAATAAAAAGTCTGAAAACTAAGAGATACCATAAGTTCTCAACCTCCCCCGAGCCGTGAAACGCGTACTCTCTCTTCTGACAAAATTAAACATGACTTCTGTTGGACAACCAATCCGTCAGCTTCGTATTGGTATGTCCGCAACAACGATGACTACATTTAATTTGCTTATAATATTCTCTAATAGGGGAGACTCTGAAAGCTGTCCGCACAAAACAAGCTGCAATGACCAACGATCCTTTACAGCTTTATCTTCGTAATACACCTGTACGTACTTTATTCGTGTCTAAACAGACTATTAGACATATTTGCACCAGGACGCAGACACGAGTTATTTTCACCAAGCATGGAGCACTTACTCGGCTGCCGAGTTTTCCCTCGCAATACACAAAGGGCTAGCGTGGACGGTTGGAGACAGTTTCGCGGTCATGATCTAGTTCGTATGTTAGTCATTATCGATGTTATACGTGACTGATGTTGAGTAGTGAACCAGCGGACGAAGCCAAGGGTATCGTAGGCAAACTAGTTGGCCGCATCTTGTCTCTATACGGAAGCTATTTTACACCTCAAGTCATAAGTGAGATCCAGCGAAGGGTTGGTGTCTATCTCCTCTTCTTACGGATCTCTCTTTCTCTGACCCGGCTTCGCACTACTACCAGAGGCGTCGCGAATGCTTAAGTAAATTCGAAAAGATGGTAGAAGAGACATTAGGAGAGAAGAAGAAGTCCATGTACTATCTCGCCTTGTTGATGACACGCCCTGAACAGCAAGGTCGTGGGTATGGGTCTGCCTTGGTGAAGTTGATGACAGCGTTTGTCGGTACCACTTACACATCACCTATTTCTCACAACGTTATTAACAATCTATCTAGGCAGACACGCATGGTCGAGAGTCATGGCTTTTGTCGAGCAATATCAAGAACACAGCTTTTTATAATTCATTGGGATTTATTACCAAGGCGCAAGTCGCTGTCGGCGACCAAGATCCAGACTGGACGGGCCCTCCGGTGGTAGTCAGTTTAGTAGGTTTAATCCATATCCGACTGTGGCGAGTGTTGACTGAACTCGGGTCTTCAGATGATTAGAGAGATTCCGGAGAGTAAAGCGCAATTGGGGTCAACGCAAATTATTCCTCCTGAAGGTACACCGAAATAATGCTGGCACGGTTTTTATACGGTGAGTATATCTTGCGTCTGATCCCATTTAGCACCAAATTCACATCTAGACTCTGATACGGTATAGTCGTTCGGAATACCAAAGGTTTCAACTTTGCTACTTATCCAATGTATATCGAGCTCGAACAGCTTCGGTACGTTATATTCTATGAAACTACGCCATAGTAGAATACGCGCTCCGGCTGGGCATGAATCACCACGCCAGTCGACAATTGCTTTAAATGGGGGGATACCATGGATAGAATGCTCAATTGAGGAGGATAACCATACAGTCTTGAGTAAGGCTGGATGCCGTCAGATCGATCTAATCTATCCGCTCATGCTGACCAGGGCACTGGGCTTCGCGAGACCATTGCGATCTCAATGATAGTGATACCAACGCGCTGTTCTTCGGGAAACTGTTTGGGCAACATATGCGGTCAATGCAGTGGCTGAGGTTAGAGTGTTAGGTCACAAACATCCACCAGCGCACCTTGGTCCCAAAAGCCTATTTCCTCAGTGAGCAAATTTAAAAGCGGGCAGTTGGTCGCTTGAGAGAAGTATCAATGAACACAGAGGGATGTGACGGAAGGCACTATCTTGTTCTAACTATGGTGAAGAAGTGATTCAATGATCTGTAGCCGCATGCGGCTCTTCCTCCAAGCTTCAATGGTCACAGCAGGGCGGTCAATTACAAGTATAAAGACCAGGACTGAGCAAAGAGGGTAGGGCAGAGCCAGTTCTCCACCTTTCCCAAGTTTCTAGCACAAGTAAACCATCACTTCCTTTGTACACAGTTTCTCTCACCATAACTTCCTCCCTAGACACATTAGTATGCTGTACAGCTCCCGAATCATCGTCTTCCTCTCTGTTCTGCTGCAGTACAAGCTTTTGCCGGCGGCAGCTTACCCTGTATTAAGACCGGGGGCTCACTTGTCAGAAGAGTTGTCTCGAAGACTCTCTCGAGGAAAAGACAACCCTTTCGGCGGGCCGCCTGAGCTTCCTGATAATTCGTGGTGGCCTCGAGGAAGGCAAGTTATCTAGACGCTGTCGTATGTCTACTCAACTCACCAAAGTGACGTCCACGGATATCACTAGCGTTTTCCTTGTCGACGATGGAATTTGGATTTCCGATTGAACAGTCGACTGCCATATTTATGTGAACCCATCTTTTTGTATCGAGGGCGGCAGTTGGTACCGTTCATCATCTGTATACCCAATGTTACAGTAACTGCAAGTAGGGTAGTAAACCTAGTGAATTACGCGGTTAGCGACAAGTCGTCGTCTCGCACGTGCCGTATACTCAGCGACCGATAAGTAATGCCCTACTCTCTGATTCACACCCCGTAGTAGGGAAGTATGGAGAGTGAGGACACGATCAATATGCCCTCGAACGTCGAGACTGAAACAGGTATGACGGTCGAATGCTTCCTTGCGCGAGTAGATGCCTTCGGCTCTCGAAAATCTTGGTGTAGCGAATGCTTGTCTCCGCGCTAACTATATCCGCTTGTCATCGCTGCGAATGGGTCACAGGTCGATCCCGTAGGCTGCGCAGTCAAATCGTTAAAAGAGAAATACGAACCTGATATGAGATCATACCATTTTTCACGAGGGACACGTAGTCCGCAGCAACCACCGTCTTATCATTTACAGCGACCATCACCGTGACCTAGCTGCATTGTTGGACGCTGCTGGGCCATAAGGCGCACCGTGACATTTACTGCGCAAGTTCTGCAATGTAGATTCAGCTAGATGCTGCGCGTAGAGGGAAGTGGAACCGCTGGACACTGCACAGTAAATATAATGTGAGGTTAATAAAGTCATTTTGTCCCTTGCGCTCGATATTCCTGGAAACCAGCTACCATGAGCCCCGACTTGGATCGAAAAGAAACAACTATGGATCACTCACCCGTTATACGCAAACTTCGTTTCGGTATGTCGGTAATTTGAGTCCAACGTACTGTAGCTGCCCCATTCATCCTGTCACACAGTCGATATCCCCAAAGCCGTTCGCATGATCGTAGCTGCGATGGAGAATGACCCTACTATACACTATTTTCGTGATACGTCAGTTAGTATTTTCCAGTTATGGTTTCCGCATGAAACACACTGACGCTCTGGCTCTTCTGTAGGACGCGAAAGCGGATTACTGGCAAAAGAAATGGAAATATAACATGGCTATTATACTTGCCAACGCCATTCGGAAAGATGAAGCATGGACAGTGGGCGACGTTTATGCATGCTTAGTATTGTAAGAACTTGATTGTATAATTGCTTAGTTGGAGGCAATTGACAAGCCTGTTGCATGAAGTGAGCCCGCAGATCAAACGGAAGACATACTCGACAAACTCGTCTATGGAATGCTGAGGATCTTCAACCGCACCGTGGCTCCACAGTTGTATAGCCGGCAACAAAAGAGGGTAAGCGCTGCCACGATTTCCATCCCATCGTACACTTATTTGCAAGCAGAGGGGAGCAGAATGGAAGGTCAAGTCAGAGGAAGCTATCCGAGTAACATTAGGAGGCAGGAAGCGGTCGATGTGGTATCTCGCTGAGCTGGCGACTCACCCAGATCATCAAGGGCATGGTTTTGGATCCGCTCTTGTCAGATCTTTCACTGAACGGGTGAGTATCGTTGACTCCTGATCTGAAATAAAGCCAAGGTGCTGACCATTGCTAGGTTGATAAACATGGCGGTTTATCGTGGCTTATGTCGAGTAATATCGAGAATACCGCGTTCTACAATTCTTTGGGATTTATCACGAAAGCCGAAATTCCATTGGGAGACAGTGATCCTGATTGGCATGGACCGCCAGTCGTGAACAGCTTGGTATGTCTTGTAAGGTCTGTTGGTCGAATATTTGATCTAACAAAAAGGATGCTAGATGATTAGAGATGTCTCGGAGAAGGAAACCTTGGTGTAGAAGAAAACTGACCTCTGGATTGGATGCACGAAGTCGAGCAGATGGTCTGCAACATTATCATTTTAATACTGTAAAAGTGTATTTGCTTGAGAGCGGCTATGTCATAGGAAGCATTGACCTTAGGGGTACTTTTGAACTCGATGGGCCTGGCATCGTACAGAAGGTTCGTTAGGGCGACCGAGCATGTGGACCGTAGGACCTATTGAACATGAGGCAAAGTTATAGGTCTGCTTTGATTAGATTCTTTACAGAGCAGGTGAGCGCCACAAATCTCCAGGTGAGTATCCCCGAGCTGACGAACTTTCCAAGTCCTTGTGTATGGCTGTGCCTCGTGGATTATTTCCAGCAATGTCGATGTCATATTT